TGATGTGTTACCCGCAAATTTGAAAATTGTGCTTTGGACGCCCAAAGCTAATGCAGATCAAGAGAAAGCAGTGGTCCCCATTTAGGACACCTCAAAGTGAATCCGTCCCCAGTCCAGAAACAACCATTCAGCATTACTATGTTTTCCATCTCTCATCTTTGTGTTGCCCCGTCTCAGTTATTCAACTGACTTCAGCTTTGCTGACCAGTCTGTCACGTGGTGCACTATCAAATGTCTTCTAGAAGTCCATCAACTACATTACCTTTATCAACCTTATCAAAATAAAACAAGGGTCCTGATGCTGTGATGAGCACAATTTAGGTAAGAAACAAAAAAAAACCTAGAAATTACTGGAGAAACTCAGCTGGTGTTGCAGTATTTGCAGCAAGAAAGCAGAGTTAACTACAGAAAACAAATGGGGAATTATTAAAACAACAGTAAAAGGACGTGTCTAATGGTGGCAGGCTGCTGGTGGACTTATAACATCAACATTGCACTGGTTAAATGGTGTGTTAGCTGCTTGTGAACTGTCGAAGGATCATTCCCTACTGCAGGTGTAATATCATTGGCTGCTCTTTTGTTAACTGTGAAGGAAAATTGCATTCTAGGGAATCTCACATTTCCAAACCACATACTTCCCTTACTGTCATTGACGACTCATAAGTTATGAAGAAAAACAGATATTTCTCCTTGTTATTCCTCCCACCCCCACCAGATAGAGGGAAATCTGGCTTTTGGGTTAGCTCAATACCACAGAGGGAGTAGCATCGACCCTGAGAGAATCGTTGCAGAAATTTGAATTTCAGAAGTTGCCCTGAAGCACTCGAATGTTATTCACAGCTTTTAAAACAAGCTCTCACACAACAGCTGGAATAATGATTGTTGGGTGAAATTCAAATACTGGACTCGGTACAGACAAAGACAAATGTAGGACGAAGCAGACGTTTCTTCATCATATTATTCTTTAAATCAGCTGAAATAACATCATTAGATTCAGTCATTCTGAACCATTATTCACATTCTGATTTATTCTAGAACAATGAAATGACCTGATGGTCAACCCTTTGCCTAATCAGCAAGGATTTTTTTTTGTTCATTGAGAACTGTTGACCTGACATTAGTCACCACAATTTATCTGCCCCCTCGCCAGATCCAACCTATCTCCCTCTGAACTGACTGCACTCCATGTGCTTAGATCTAACCCTCACTTTGTTATTAAGCTTGCTGATAAGGATGCTGCTGTTGTAGTCTGGCGTACTGACCTCTACCTTGCAGAGGCTGAGTGCCAGCTCTCAGATACCTCTTCCTACCTTTGCCTGGACCATGACCCCACCATGACACATCAGGCCATTGTATCAACTATGGTAACTGACCTCATTTCATCTGGTGATCTCCCCCAACTGCTTCCAAGCTGATAGACCCCCAGCCCCACACAGCGCGCTTCTACCTCCTTCCAGATATCCACAAACAGGACTGTCCAGGCAGACCCATTGTTTCAGCCTGCTCCTGCCCCTCTGAACTCATCTCTTCCTACCTCGATTCAGTCTTCTCTCCCTCGGTCCAGTCCCTGCCCATGTACATCCATGATTCCTCCAGATTTAAGCCAGTTTCAAAATTTCCAATTTGCAGGCTCCAGCCACCTCCTATTTACCATGGACGTGCAATCCTTTTACACGTCCATTCCCCACCAGGATGGCCTCAGTGCTATTTGCTTCTTCCTGGAGCAAAGACCTGAACTGTCACCACCCACCACCACCCTCCTCCACTTGGCTGAACTTGTCCTCACCCTCAACAACTTTTCTTTTAACTCCTCTCATTTTCTTCAGGTCAGAGGAGTGGCCATGGGTACCCGCATGGGCCCTAGTTATGCCTGTCTCTTTGTGGGATATGTGGAACATTCCTTGTTCCAGTCCTATTCCGGCCCTCAACCACAACTCTTTCTCCGATACATCGATGATATCATTGGTGCTGTCTCCCTCTCATCTGGAATTGAAAAAGTTAATTGATTTTGCTTCCAAATTCCACCCCTGCTCACTTTCACCTGGTCCATCTCTGACTCCTCCCTTCCCTTCCTCGAAATCTCTGCTTCCACTTCTGGGGATAGACTAGCCACTAATATCCACTATAAACCCACCGACTCCCACAGCTACCTCGACTATACATCCTCACACCCTGCTTCCTGTAAAGACTCCATTCCATTCTTTCAGCTCCTCCGTCTCCGTCGCATAGGTTCAGATGAGGCCAACTTCAACAAGGGATCCTCCGAAATGTCAACCTTCTTCCTCAACTGAATATTACCCAGCACGACAGAGCCCTCAACCTGGTCCAACCCATCTCCCACACTTCTGCCAGCAATCCCTCTCTTCCCTCCTGAAACAGCGATAAGGTTTCCCTTGTCCTTACCTACCATCCCACCAGCATCAACATCCAGAAGATCATCAGGCGCCATTTCCGCCACCACCAGACACATATTCCCCTCCCTTCCCTTGTCTGCCTTCCACAGGAATCATTCCCTCTGGGAGACTCTGGTCTACACTTCTTTCATTCCCAACATTCCCCGCAAAGCCCTACGGCACCTTCCCCTGCAACCGGCGTAGGTGCAATACCTGCCCATTTACCTCCTCCCTCCCCAGTATCCAAGGGCCCGAACATACCTTCCAGATGAAGCAACACTTCACCTGCACTTCCCAGAATCTAGTCTACTACATTCGCAATGTGTACACTACTCACAATGTGGTCTCCTCTACATTGGAGAAATGAAGCGTAGATTGGGTGACCGCTTCGCAGAACATCTACGTTCTGCTCGCAAAAAAGACCCTGAGCTTCCAGTCGCCTGCCACTTTAACGCACCACCCTGTTCCCTGGCCAACATCTCTGTCTCTAGCTTGCTGCATTGTTCCAGTGAACCTCAGCGCAAGCTGGAAGGGCAACACCTCATTTTCTGCTTGGGGACCCTGCAGCCCTCTGGACTCAATAACAAGTTCAATAATTTCACGGGCTAAACTCTCCCATGTCCTAGCCCCCTACCCCACACACCAGGCCTTGTTATCACATAGCCTGTCATTACACACTACCTATTGTTAGTTACTAACACTGTCTATTAACAGCTATTCATCCTTCTAACCGGATCATTATCAGCCCCTTTATCTATCCAACTGCTCTCTCTCCCTCTCTTTGGGCTCTATCCTTTATCCTATCATTTACTCCCTACCCCATCCCCCTCCCTATCTTCTGCATATAAACCATCATTTTCCTAGCTACCATCAGTTCTGAGGAAGGTTCACCGGACCTGAAACGTTAACCCTGATTTTTTTCTTCACAGATGCTGCCAGACCTGCTGAGATTTCCAGCAATTTCTGTTTTCATTCCTGATTTACAGCATCTGTAGTTCTTTCTGTTTTTCTTTTTTTTGGTTTAGTTTTAACAATGCAAATTGCCAGCCCAAATACATAAAAGTAACAGGACCCTGTTTTTTTTTAAAAAAAAGACATTTCCTAATCAACTTGTTCAGAGATGTTATTATACAGCTGTGGAGGAGGTGAGATTTGAATCTGGGTCATCTAGCACAGAGTTAGGGACACTAATACTGCTCCCTTCGTAGTGAGACTTTTACTAGCCACCTAAACATACTTCAGCTAGTGCCTTATCCAGTATGGAGCTTCTCTGGGTGAGGTGGACACAGACCACTTGGTTCACTCAATTCTGCTGGTATCCCAACTGAATGGGCAGCATGCATCAATGCAAAATGATAATGCTTTTCAGTACATGTCCAATTTCACAGCAGTTGTGAAAAGGAAGATTTTAGGAGATTTTTCTTAAAAAACAGTAAGCCAGGTCAGCGATAGAATTTCTACTGCTGAGGTAATATGTCAACTCACCAGTTCCTAAAGTTAATAGAGAGTGTGTTCCTGCCACCACAGCACAAGTTACAGTCTGAATGATTTTCTGAAGAAGGGTCTAGACCCGAAACGTCAGCCTTCCTGCTCCTCTGATGCTGCTTGGCCTGCTGTGTTCATCCAGCTCTACACCTTGTTATATCAGTCTGAATGGGAACAGATTGAGCAATCTGCACTGTCCTTTCTGCTCAAACCTGCAACCTGCTTACTCACTTATTGAGCAAGACAATAACACAGTGACTGATTTAATTATTTAACATTTATTTTGTCTCCTGCTGATTTGAAATGGATGTAGAAATAACAGTTGGGAAAAAAGCAGATGATTTATCCTTAAAAGAAAATTGAGAATGCGATAGTGGTGAAGAATCTCACTTGATTCTAGTGAGATATAAAAATGACTTTTATACCCACCGATGATTGTAAAATATTCCATATGAAATGGCAGTGGTTGGATGATGCTTCCCATAGCCAGCACATATTTGGAGAATGAATCTTTTTCGGGGGGAAACGTTTGTAAATCTTAAAAGACTCTCCAGTGTATTGAAGAATACTAATAGAAAAAGTATTAGTTCATATGATATTCCTGTCTACAGTGCTTTCACAGGGATATTAATCCAGTTCAAATAAATGGGTCGACACCTGCATCTTAATCATGGACAGAGACACATCCTGAACACATTAAGCATTAGTTCACCAATATTGGCAATGGTAATTTCTAGGCTCTAGCTGCAGCGAAATAAAAGTTCCGTTAAGAAGAAAGACTTGCATTGATATAGAACATTTCACAGCCACTGGACATTTTGCAATGCTTTACAGATAACTAAGTACTTTTTGAAGTGTAGTAATCTATGAAACATGCAAAAACATGTAAAATGTTATATAAATGCTACAAAGTGACTTGCTTTAATTTGGATTTGCTGCACATTGCTGTAAAAAGAAGAATTCAGATTTAACTAGCAATAAAGAAACAGCGTCATATGCTTTAGAATTAACAAAACAGCGAAGTTCCCAGTTTTTCTTTTCAGAATGTTCTACTTTTGAAGTAGTCTTTATATTATTGGTACATTTTCATGACTAAGCATTTTTTTGTCTTTTTCTTCACAGGACCTCCTGTAAGTACTTTTGCTGTCTGAACGCTCGATGAAACTTATCAAGATAAGAATTCTTATTTTTATTTTAATGAAAGATAGATTGCTTAGAGCCCATTAAACACATTGACAAACATATTTGATTGAGTGCAATAGAAGATATAATTGTAACACATAGATCATGCACTTAAAGGTTTATTTTTAATTTACTGAAACATTGATATTTCAAATGTGATATTCCAATTTTCAGTTATCGTCATCAGTTATAGCTATCTGCTATGAAATAATAACAAAATAATCACATTGATATTTCTGTGTGACTATTTTATTAAAATAATGAACATCAAAATAGAGAAATACATTAAATGACCAGCCTTGCTATTCCTTTGGAATTTACATACATATAGTGTTGATACATGCAGGTTTTGAATGTTCATTATTTCACCCTTGTGATGAGATGATTGTATTTCATTGAAAGATTTGTGGAAGTATTTTCTACTCTTAAGTACAAGTGTTATTTGGCAATACTGACTAATTTGTTATTGTCTATTTAATTGGGTTCTTCACCCGCTATGATGGCCAATTATTAGCTCCTCTATGGAGTATATTTTCATACAGAAGTGTTTCTCAGGTGAGATTATTCAGTGGTTCACAATTCTAAATATCAATGTGAAAGAAAACATATTTCCAGTTTTGAACCATAATATTAACAAGAAAACTTGCCACTGGTCCCCTACGTTTTTCAGTGGCTGCAGTTTTTCATCAAAAGTGAAACAAGTAGTTAAATTGTCAATGTCTATTGATGGAAAGCGCATAAAGATTACTTTTTAAATGTAGTAGACTGCAGTAATCCTTTGTGGCTTCACTGAAGTGTTTTGCTCACTTTGTGTAACTTGCACTGTTTGGAGTAAAGGTTGGTTCCAATCCATCCATACAACTAATGTACTTATACAATTCTAGTTCACTAGAAAGCAGTTGTTCAGTCAGACAGTGCAACTTTATGGTGTCACTTTTCTTGGTTTTCCAATAAATCTTCATGACTGTTCTATAACGTAATCTACGTTTTTTGACGTAGTCTAACGTGACCGTTTCTAACGTAGACAATTTTCTTTTCAATCTGATACCTAAGAGAAGGCATCTGGGCAAAAATAACACAGATATTCAATATTCCAGACGAACAGTAGTCAAAGCTACATAAAAGGTTCATGCAAAGTTAAGTTGAAAGCTTAATTATAGAATCAGAAACAGAAGAGTGGATATTCATGAAGCTATATTAAAGGGATGTGGAAATTAAAATACACCATTGTCAAAAAAAACTGGACAATGCAGCAGGATCAAAACCAAAAACTTGGTCAAAGAATTAGGCTTTAAAGGCTGTCTTTAGGAAAGAAATTGGGACATAGAGATGGAAATGTTCCAGAAGTTATGGTCTTAAGAGCGGAAGGCACAACTGTCAATGACAGTGTGATTTCAATCAGGAACATTCAAGGAACAAGAATTGGAGCAACACCGATACGTAAACTGTTTTCAGACTGGAGAAGATCACAGCGAAAGCTGAACCCAGGGCAAATGTACATCTAAGAAAACAGGAGTAATGGTGAACAGAACCTAGGTGACAGAGTTTTTATTGACCTCAAGTTTTCAGAGGATTGAAATTGGAAGGGTGACCATCAATGCAATAGAATAGTCAAGTCAAGTGGCAAAGTGTTGGATCATGATTTCAGTAGCAGATAAGCTGAGGAAGGGAGGAGTCAGATGATGAAATAGATGGCCTTACCGAAGGTACAGATTTGTGCCAGGAACTTCATCTCGAGATCAAATGTAAGATGTCGGACAGGAACTGTTCATACATTAAAAACAGCTTCTGAACTGAAATAACCCAAACCTCAGCCACTGGCTTGTACTGAGTGGAACCAGTTGGAACTGGTGTGACTCAGAGGAAAACAAGGGAAGTGACATAAGGTACAACTACTTATTTGGTGGAAGAATAAGGAGGTAATGCTACCAGTGCCCTTGGGCTAGAGCCTATAATGAAAGGTCACAGGCACAGCAGATAGGCCAGAGCCAACCAAAGTAAGACACCACGGTTTGGGAAGATAAGGATGAAAGTGAAGGATGTGCATGCAGCCAGTGAAAACTCTGGTGATTAACCTTCGCAGAAGTGGAGGACCCTAGATTGAAAGGGAGGACCAAGGGATTGCCTGCCCAGTGTGAAATCCTATTCTCTGGTATTAGCCTTTATACTCTGTGACTGATCAGAGAAAATCAGAGAAACCTAATGGGTGTGCACATAGATTTTAGTCTTGTATAAATTCCATGTCTGTTTTTAACCCTTCTTAACCAAATGGTGTGAATTGTATGTCTGTTTAACTAACCAATAAAGTCAGTTGTTTGTTGATACAGATTTGACTCTTTTCCTCTTGGTGCTGAGCCAATAGGGCGATAGATAACCAGGCAACCAGATCGAGGCAGCAAACTGTCTCATTCAGCCTCAGGTAGGACAAGGTGGGAGTCAGTGTTTATGCAGTTCACGGCAGGCTTTGGGGATGATGGTTTTAGCCTTTATAATATCCTGTTGGTGGAATATCTGCTCATCCAAAACTCTATGTAGGATAAGCAGCCTGGAAATATGGAGGTAGTTGAGGGTCGAGAGAGACGGTGGTGAATCAAAGGTTAGGTGTTATCAGCATATATATAGAAACAGATGATGTGACTGAGACCCAGGTTGTCCATGAGAAATGAAGATTTGGGGAGCAAGGTTAAATCCTCTGGGACACCAGAGGTAATAGTGCAGCAGCATACAGAGAAGCCATCATCATGGATCCTGTGACTTCAACTAAATTGATAAGAATGGAATCAAATGAATCTAGTCGCACCCAGCTAGAGGATCACGCTGTGGACTGTTTGGAACAGTTTTAGTAACAAAAGCAATTATATTGGTCTCCTTATTTCAGGATGGATATAAATGTGTTGGCAGCAGTTCCAAAAAGGTTAACTGGACTAACACCTGGAATGGGTGGGCTCTCTCAGGAGGAAAGTTTGGACAGGTTTGGCTTATATCCATCAGAGTCTAAAAGAGCAAGAAGCAGCATTATATAAACATTTAAGATCCTGAACAGTGTTGACAGGATGGATGTGGAGAGGATGTTTCCTCATATGAGAGAATTTAAAACTGGGGATCACTGTTTAAAAATAAGGGGTCACCCATTTAAGACAAAAAGCAATGAAAAATCTTTTCTAACACTAGGTCATGAGTCTTTTGAAAACTCTTCATCAAATTGCAGGGGATGCAGAGTCTTAAAAATACTTAAGGCAGATGTAGTTACATTCTTGATAAGAAAAGGGGTAAAAGGTTATCAGGGGTCAGAGGGAATGTGGAATAGTCGGATCAGCTCTGATCTTACTGAACAGCAGACCAAGCTCTGATGGATATAAGCCAAACCTGTCCAAACTTTCCTCCTGAGAGAGCCCACCCATTCCAGGTGTTAGTCCAGTTAACCTTTTTGGAACTGCTGCCAACACATTTATATCCATCCTGAAATAAGGAGACCAATATAATTGCTTTTGTTACTAAAACTGTTCCAAACAGTCCACAGCGTGATCCTCTAGCTGGGTGCGACTAGATTCATTTGATTCCATTCTTATCAATTTAGTTGAAGTCACAGGATCCATGATGATGGCTTCTCTGTATGCTGCTGCACTATTACATCTGGTGTCCCAGAGGATTTAACCTTGCTCCCCAAATCTTCAATCTGCTTCATAACTCCTTCTGCTCCTAATTCATATGTTCATATCTATATTTGTATGTAATGTTGGACAATTGTTTTTATTCATTCATGGGATGTGGGTGTCACTGACTGGACCAGCATTTATTGACCATCCCTAATTGTTAGGAGTTAACCACATTGCTGAGAGTCTGGAGTCACATGTAGGCCAGGCCAGGTAAGGATGACAGTGTCCTCCCCTAAAGGACACTAGTGAACCAGAAGAATTTTTCCTGACAATTAACAATAGGATTCACAGTCATCATTAAACTCTTATTTCCAGATTGTTATAGAATTCAAATTACACCACCTGCTGCAGCAGCACTCAAACTCAGGTCCCCAGAATATTGCCTGGGTCCCTGGGTTAACAGTCTAGCAATAACGCCACTCAGCCTAATTTGAACTACTGTTCAAATGAAGTTCCTTTGACAGCTATTTCCCAAAAAAACTTGCTGCCTTTGTTACGATAGAAAAGGCCGTTACACAATTCTAAGCTTCATAGCTATGGTGACTGAATGGGAAAGTCAAATAGTGTTCAATATCTAACAATTATTATTAAAAACTGTAGTTTGAAATTCAAGTGACAAAGACTGCAAGTAATGTAGGGTTGTTTGAAAAATATGCAAGTAAGAAGTGGAAGACAAAAGAGGAAATAATGAATAGATCATCAATGGTGCTATGACTACTCTGCACATATTAGCTCTGAAATTCTGTGGAGGTTTCCCACATACTCTGCCACAATTTCAGCAGATCATTTGGGAACCCCTGGAAAACTGGAAAAAGACGTTGTTTATGCTGTTTCCTTTGGGTTTTGCCAGTTTTCCCCACCTCCCGAGTTAAATCAGGAGACGAAGGGGGGTCCTGCAGAATTTTCAGGCCATTATTCGTTTATGCAGTTGATACAACAGAGTATTCAAGATTCAGTGCATAAAATTTATGTGGCAATTCCCTAATTTACAGCTGTAGCTTTAGTGGGGAATGTCTGGCTGTTGCCTGTTTACACCATTTCTTCCTTTTCTTTTGACATTACCATAGGTAGTGGGATCTCACCCATAAAAATTCCCAGACTTAGATAAACTCCAAAGAAAAAAAATGGATCTAATTAATATTGTAAAACCTCCCATAAACAGGGCTTACATCTAAAGAATATCAAATCCCAATATTCAAAAAAGGTATGAATTAGGAGATTGGTTAGTCAAGTGGCAATGAAGAGTAAGTAAATGGAGGAACTTTGATTTTATGTAACACCTTTCACCGTTT